TTTATAGGGAAGTTTTTGGTGCTCATTTCGAATTTATTGATGACAGCGACCGCAACAAATATACTCTCTAAGCTTCTTAAAGGACAGATTAGGCCACTGACATAAAATGACCCAGGTCATCATTTGTTTTTAGGGGCATACCGCCTAGTGTAATCCCTGAAGCTTATACGAATAACAAAATAGGAGCAGTCGTGTACGTATTTTGTCACCTTGACCTAACGAAGGTGAAATAAGGCTACTGACCTTAATTGAACACCATTGACCATTTGCTTAGAACAGGTATCTGGTTTCGCGGCGATAGCATTAAGGGTTCTGGAGGGCACTTGAGATTCCAACCTAGAGCTTGACCTTGTTTGACCTTATTTGACCCCAAGGTCATAAGTTAAAAACCTCAAATCTCAATACAAATGAGTTCACGTACAAGCTAAATCGCTCTGTGACTTTGGTGTCTCCAATTATCTTAGTTTTCGAGATCACAGGGGGTTAAATCGGCCCACATCCTAGCGAATGGGTCCTTTTCATATCCGAGTGGACGGAGGAAGGGAGAAGAAAAATTGGCCATCCTCCTTAGATCACCTGGCAATGGGATTCCATTGTCAGGAGATTTGAAGAGGTGAGGCATCAACCTGTGGCTAGCTTGAACTGCCTTTTCACACATAGACCTAGACATGCTACAGCCGCGCTCACCCAAACACAAGTGGGGTTAATTGTAACCTTTTGCTCCATGGAATTGTATAGTTCAACCGCTGGCGTTATCCGCACTTCAGTTTTAGTAAATGTGTCCTCTGATTAAGACTGTGTGAGCTCTAAAGGCGATGGTGAGCTAGTTTTAAATCATTGGTGGCTTCATGGGGCTGAACACTGAGCGGTTGGGGACAAATATGCCCTTGATGTAATAATGCAATCGTTTCAGCGCTTTGCAACAGTGAAGTGTTATGGTTGTCCTCGAACATATACCATTGACTGTTGAATAAGTCTATGCTTTTTGCAGGCCAGACAGGATAACTGGCATGTGATAGCCATGTATCAATTCTAGACTAGGCGGCGCCTATAGTGCAGTGGTTAACGCGTCTGCGCTAACCACTGCGCGTCTTAGAAATAAGAGGTAAGAGGGTTCACTTTTTGACAATCATTCACCAACTGCGGCAAAAAGATAAGCACTAGAGGCTTGCATCCATTCCAGAATTTTGTTGTCGATACTCTGCTATCAATGCCAGTGAGCCTTGCCTCATGCTACAGAGTCCAAACTAAAGCTCATGACGTCTTTCCATGCTGTTGGATAGGTTTGATGGAATGCCCTGTACGAAGAACATGAAGTGAAATGGAATATAAATAGGCTATCCCCGTTATGCTATACGCTGAACGATGTCTGTCCGTTGCCAAAGCGAGCCGGCCCTTCTGGGGCGCGATCTCATGATTCGACCTGTGCGGCTACCGTTGTCGGCAGTTAGTCACCAGTGTACGTCCTGCACGTGCAGTGCGACCAGCAGGCACACCAGCAACAGACACAACACAGCCCACCCCAGCACTGAGCTGTGCTGAGCCTTTAGGATCTTTTTCACAAGGCACGTCCCGCACACATCGCTATTGTTCCAAGCCTATTGCTCCAATGCTGTCCACGCGGTAACACGCTTTATTTACACACATGCGGATCTGCCACTGTAGCTTTAGATCCGTGGAAGATATACACGGCGCATACATAAATCTGTCGCTTTGAGCTAAAACATGACCGCACCAACAGCCCCACGAGCTACAATCCATCTCCCGTCGCACTGATTGTTCTACCTTGTACGAATGATCTCTCAATGGTGTGATTAAATTTCCATGTCGTGATGGATGATTCATTTGGCTTATACATGCAGTGGATCCAAACGGAGATCACATCAATTCAGTGTTATACGCGTCAGTAGTGTTCCATTGGTTAATGCATTGGGGTAAGGGTGAGTGTGATTTGTTGGACAATATTATGTCACTGACACATGACTTGGACACCAGAAAATACGCAATTTCCTTATTCCTGAAAGCCGCCAATTAACTCGGATGATTCACTTCAAGGTTTGCTGCCATCCTAGACAGTTTCCTTTTTCGCAATAATTTTATCCAACTGCAATATAATTCAGGATGGGATTCATGCAACACATGGCCTGCCTTAAAGACAAAACAGTGTCCGTTGGATTACATTAATTAAAGATAAGGTTTGAACATCGCAAACTCGCAACAGTTGTACAGCTAAATGGATGTTTCGAAGTGGCGGATTTACGCATATCTATGAACATTTGTAACGTGCTATAAATTCTGACAACGTATAAATGCATTTAGCAGCATATCAAGATGCAAAGGCGACACAGCTGCTATGAATGAAGATACGGTTTCATACAAGGCAACGGTTTATACGGAAGGATACGGTTTCATACAAGACAGGCTAAAATGAACCTCCTTAATTGGTATCAGGTGATTGTTGCAGCCAGTCAGTGTAGCATCTGACCTATTGATTGGCGTTATTTTTTGCAACCAGTAAGAGTATAGATGTGAAACACGTTAAAGAAGAACAATTAAGATATTGAGATGAACCATGCTTTTATGATTGTAATTTAATTGCACAGAATCCTTGGGTAAGATTTCTGTGAATTCACAACCATATTTTTGATAATCCCAACCGGACCATGTTACAGTTATATTTTTTATAAACGAGATTGGCGGTGGGATTTGATTTTGGAGAGCCGGACGACATTAAACCCCGCAGGATCATCAAAGTCCGGATTCCGGAAAAGCCGCAAGATACGGGACACGTGTCGACGCCTGATGACGGCTGCTCCTATCACACGTGAGAGAGCTTTTGTTCACTGACATCGTTGTCGACTTATTTACAAATCGCGTTCCTAATCCTGATATAGTGTTCCTGAAAAGCTGACAGCCTGTTTGCGCCGGTTTGCGGCAACGATTTTTCCGCAGCACTATTGCGACACGTCTAACCTCGAAAACAGCACCGAACAGCCACCCAGATGCACGCACGCCCCATTTCGATTTCGATCCCTGTCCAACAATTGCGTTAGTTTTTGTTTCTGGCTGTATCACGTCGTGGGCCGGCCGTGTCTGACGTTTGAGGGAATGTTCCACATTTGAAGATGTTGAGGAATGTATCGTATACGACGAAATGAAATAACTTATAGCTATTGGTTTAGTTTTAAGTGTGGAAGGCTCTGCTAGACAACACAATCTCTCTGTTTAGTTAATATGCCCCCCGATACGTCACTGCCTGATCACGTCTTTGTAGCTTGCGCAACATAGTTTTAGGACCAATTGGTGCCCGTTACATCTGGAAATCACGCTCACGAACGCCGATATGAACGACTCGACAATTTTATTTTTCTTAGCCTTGATCACTGCATGGCTAATGAAATGATGGGACTTGAATGACGTCATTACGACGTCATGAACGACTGGGATACCTTGAAATAATATCCCCGAAAAAGTCTGCACGTCTTCGCAAACGTACAGCTAAAAAGCATCAGAATATGCAGCCCAAAATGTTCACTGAGTGGTGTGCCACGTATCCCACAGCCACGCCAGACAAACACCTGGCCCCCCAGCGAGTGCCTCACCTGTGTAAGTGGTGGTGAGAGGTGAAGGTGAACGAACGTCGACTTGATGGCATGTCACGTGCTCCGAGGCGAATTGACGTCACGCGCACCCAAATGGATGACTCACCCCTCACGTGAAGAAAAGCGTGCTTTGTGGGACACATGTCCCGAAGCTACGTCACCTTTGCTGCACGTGCGCCTGAGGGACGCCTCGCCAGACATGCGGTAAAAGCTTCCGGGTAGTTTCGAGCGGCGGGGGAAATCTCGACGTGTGCTCGCTTGCTGGGGGTTGCTTGCTCAGGGTGTACAGTTTCGACGGGCCGAGGCAGCTTCCAGAAGCTGACCTCTGGAACTTATTCGAATGTCTACCCACGCTTGTTCTAACCAAACTTCTTCGTGGGTCAGTGGACGTGTTGGTCCCGGAAACCAGTCATTTTCTTCTACTCATTAAACGTCGTCAGTCAATCAGCGCATGGATGGTTTTCACCCCGTGCTGTATATCATCGATGAGCTTGACAGTTTGAGCCAATCACCATTACCTGCGGCGAAGCACCGAAGAGTCCGGACGGAGATATATATCCCTACGTAGGTCTCTGGCTCTCAAAACGTCATCGCATTTCGCCGCATAACGTACAAGTTTTGCCGCAACGACGCTGCAACGACACCTTGACTTGTGGTGTATAAATGTTTTTCCCTCTAGGGGAGAAAGCCGCTGCTGAAAATGTATAGTTTAATACTAACCCGTTCAACGGAATCGGTCAAGATGTTTCGACACTACCGAGCTAATTTCGAAGCCAGTGATAGACCAAAAGCAAGTGTTGAACAACCGTTTAAGTTATCCGCAGCTGCTTTATGATAACTGTTGGCCAGTCTTGAAGACCACTGTCTGATGCACAGTCTTGAGGAGAGACGCTGGACGCACGAGCCAGCGGCGATAGGTGAAGGTCCTTAAGTTATGCGCGGCTACTTTATGATAACTGTTGGCCAGTCTTGAAGACCACTGTCTGATGCGCAGTCTTGAAGAGAGACGCTGGACGCACGAGTCAGCGGTAATAGGTGAAGGTCCTTAAACGAATACATCGTCTCGTTCGTCTGACATGGAAGGTGCTGACATCTGGTTAAGAGGTCCCAACCCCTCGATCTATCCTCGACCGACCCTTGAGCGTGCGTAATGTTTATTAACAATTGTGAGCTCCTTCAGTCTTTCGTGTGGGCCATCTTAGTGAGAGAGGCCAAGTGAACGCTAGAAGTCGCAGCTGCTTGCACAGTCGCTCCTGGCAACGACCAACGCGTGTTAAAGGTTAGACATGTCGGGTAAACCGACTCTGTCGTCCGCGTCTCGGTGTCACCAATCATCCACCTGCTGCCAGGTCCCGGCCAGCGGAGAGCCGGTGCTCGTCAGCCGACCGCGGCGCGGTCATGCCGAACCGCTCGCCGGCCGTCGGTGTCGACGGACTGGCGTCGACGCTGGCGCCGGAGGCTGACCTGGCGTACGGCGTCCTCTGCATGGTGCTAGGTGGGTGCTGCGCTGCCGTCCCATGTCGGGCGGGCGTCACCTCCGTGATGTCGCTCGCACTACGGTGGAAGGGGAGGGGGCTGACGCCAGGAGACGCGCTGAGTTCTGGACTGGTGTTCCGCTTAATAGCTCCTACCGTTGCTCTTACCGTTGCTGCCTCTGTCACTATCTTTGTCTGTCCCCGTCCCCGTCTTTCCCTGTCTGTCCCTGTCCCCGTCACTGTCCCTATTTCTGCCCCTGCCTCTTGTCTCGTCTGTATGTCTCTCGTCTCGTCTCGTCTGTAGAGCGATGTATGTATGTATGTTATGACAGGTGCAGAATGCGATGTATGCATGTATGTTATGACAGGTGCAGAATGCGATGCATGCATGTATTTTATGGCAGGTGCGGAGAGCTATGTATGTATGTATGGTATGACAGGTGCGGAGAGCGGTGTATGTATGTCATGAAAGGTGCAGAGAGCGGTATATGTCTGTTATGTCAGGTGCAGAGAGCGGTGTATGTATGTTATGACAGGTGCGGAGAGCGGTGTATGTATGTTATGACAGGTGCAGAGAGCGGTGTGTGTATGTTATGACAGTTGCGGAGAGTGGTGTATGTATGTTATGACAAGTGCGGGGAGCGGTGTATGTATGTTTTGACAGGTGCAGAGAGCGGTATATGTATGTTGTGACAGGTGCAGAGGCGGTGTATGTGTTTCATGAAAGGTGCAGCGAGCGGTATATGTGTGTTATGACAGGTGCGGGGAGCGGTGTATATATGTTATGACAGGTGCGGAGAGCGGTGTATGTATGTTATGACAGGTGCGAAGAGCGGTATATGTGTGTTATGACAGGTGCGGAGAGCGGTGTATGTATGTTATGACAGGTGCGGAGAGCGATGTGTGTATGTTATGACAGGTGCGGAGAGCGGTGTATTGTGTCATGAAAGGTGCAGCGAGCGGTATATGTGTGTTATGACAGGTGCGGAGAGCGGTGTATGTATGTTATGACAGGTGCAGAGAGCGGTATATGTGTGGCATGAAAGGTGCAGCGAGCGGTATATGTGTGTTATGACAGGTGCGGAGAGCGGTGTATGCATGTTATGACAGGTGCGGAGAGCGATGTATGTATCTTATGACAGATGCGGAGAGCGGTGTACGTATGTTATGACAGGTGCAGAGAGTGATGTATGTATATACTTTATGACAGGCACGGAGAACGGTGTATGTATCTTATGGCAGGTGCGGAGAGCGGTGTATGCATGTATGTTATGACAGGTGCAGAATGCGATGCATGCATGTATTTTATGGCAGGTGCGGAGAGCTATGCAGCCAACGACATGTTCTCAGTGAGTATTGCGGGCGATAGCCACTTGTCCGGAAACATTTTGAAACGGGAAAGTGACTCTTTTCGTTGGCTATCATTGCACAGAACATTTTCTTGGACTTGGTTTGTTTACAAACTGCTTACGACTTGGAGCCACCGTATTAGGAGACGCCACAGTGTTTAAGCTGGCAAGTTCCGGCAAGGCGGTACCACGCTACAACAACAAACAACAGGTGCGGCCTCCCACAGGTTACCAAAGAGGAAAAGTTCCCTCCACTCTCTGCATTACGTAAAAGTCTTAAAAGTTTTAGCTTGGCTCTTCCAAAATCAATCTACCCTGGATATCGCCAGCAAGGCTGACAGGGATGCTGGCATATACGTGCGTCTATACGGCGATGACCACGATGCGGAGCCCATTGCCTCACGATGTCGGGGCCGTGCGCAGAAAATGACACGCCCCCATTCCACCTGACCCAGCGGCAAAATATGGTCAGCATATCTATTAAACTGTGGCGATCAGAGGTATACATCATTAGACCAGATGAACTGTAAGCTGTGGCAATCATATACACTATTAGACTACGTTAACTGTAAGACAAGCTGAGAGGTAAGCTGTAAGGTAAGGTATAATGTAAGCTATAAGGTAAGCTGTAAGATTGCTAACCGTTATTCCAGTCATATCTGCCAGACGCTGCAATTCAAAAACATGTTTGGTTTCGCGCACTGCGATTATGGTATCATTTTGGTATTATTTTTGGTACACTTAATTGTGCACACTTGACGAGGACACAAAGCAAACAGGGGGGGGGGGGGGGGAGAACACAAGTATATATTTTTCAGCTTAAATCTAGAGTTATGCGACATGATAACCAGTCTGAAACAACCCAAACGTTTATCTGCGAAGGAACCGTCTATGGCTCAGACAAACACACAGGCATGCAAGGCAAGAGAAGGCATGACGATGCTCATTTAAGATCACTTACGTATGCTCACATAAGCACAATCATGTTCACTTCACGCTGTCCTCCTGATGTCGCACCTGTTTGGCTGCGTGCCTGGTAGCAGCCCGCTCAGCCCCAGCCTGATTAACCCATCTGAGGCGCAGATGGATGCGCGTCGTCACCAGCTTCCGAGCAATCCGCTTTTCCCGCGCAGAACTTTCTCAGCAGGAGCTTTGTGAGGCGGTCCACGATATCGATGTCTCGGCCCATGTCTCGGCCATTACTAGCTGAAACACGATCTCGAAACCTCGACAACGCTCGTCCAGGCCAGCAACGGTACCATCAGACTATCTGAGCTAATCGCGTGTATCCAGCTATCTGGCACACAGCTGAGTGGTGCCTCTCGGGTCGACAGTCCCATACTTGGATCGAGGTATTTGCACTTGGCCGTCACAAAGCCGGCAACGAGGGTCAGCGCCCCGCGCTCGATATTGACCTCGTCCACCTCATCGCCGCGACGGGCGCCATTTTCGGTCCTCTTACCGTCACCGTCACGAAGCTTGTCTTTACCCAACTCGTTGACCCCGTAGTCCTCGTCCATTTCGTTCAGAACTGGCAAACGGGCATTGGAGGCATCACAGCTGCTTGCTGGTACGCGGCCTCCACGTCGTCTGTATGCGCCGCCGCTTCCGCCACAGCTGGCTTTTGGATCTGCCACACAACGAAACACAGTCATTTCCACGTGCCTAATAGGCGCATTAATCAGACCCTTTTACAAGTCACCAGTGTGGTTTCTCATTGCGGCAGCAAAACGTCTTGGACCTGGACATGCCCGTTCTTTCGTTATCACATGCCTGTTTGTATAGACATAAACTTTGGTAGTTCAGGCTCTGGGGCGGATCTAGCCTGGAGTTGTTTTTTTTTTGGGGGGGGGGACAACCGTTCGTCGCCAGCTGGCTGGTGTGGGATCCGATGTCCAGTGCACTTAACAAACACGATGTTTGCGCCGAGTATGACTAAGCCGCTTCAACACGCGTTTTGTTTTGATTTGACATTCAAATCGCTGCCAACTTTTCTTCATGAAGTTTTTCCGAAACGGATAGAAATGTTTGATACCGCACCATCAAAGTTAAAACAGACGGTAAGCAGACAAAACTTTTATGAAGTTCTGGAAATGTTGGGGGGGGGGGGCAAAACATACTCTCAGAGTTTTGGGGGCATGGCACCATGCCCCCCCCCCCCAGGATCCGCCTATGTCCAGCCTGACATAACCCGAGCGGGTAAGAGGGACAGTCAACGACCGACGAGTACTGCACTGCGTGCACCATTCTGATATCTACCGCTCCTGGCCATAACCACGGATCTGTCTGGATGGACCCGCTTCATGGTCCCGTTTCAGTGCATCGGCTGCCCCAGGGGGGTGGCGCCGCTATTACTGTTTTCCGACGCAAAAATAGACAAGAACAGCGCGACCCTTCGAGCCCCCCCCCCCCCTTCGTTCGTCTCTGCTCGTCAGGTTTAGGGTCTATGGTTTAGGCAAAGCAGCAGATTTTTTACCACGATGTTACTGTATGTAATCCCGACCTTTGGTAACCAGGCAAATAGCTTTTGTTCGAAATTCCAGACACTAGCATGGACAGTGACACGAAGAGTCCAAAAGTGGTTCATTAGTAACAAGACTCGCATGTAGGCGGGCGAACATGTGCGGCACGCAGCTGAAAGAACTGTTTAAGGCGCCGGGGCAAACCACTATTGCTAGCTCATTGATGCGCTAGGTACTGTACCTATTAACGGTTGTGGGGTTTGTTAGTTAGCTAACAGTGCATAGATGTGCACTGTCAGTGGGGCTGGGACCCGCTCGTGCAAACTCGCCCTCCTCCCCCCTCCCCCCCCCCGCGTCGCGAACCCTAGCCACGCCCGACACTCGCCACCCTCGCCCGCGTGGCATAGAGGGCTGTTTCGCTTGTGTGGTAGTCAGGCCACACTTTGTAAGCCAGCTTATGGTTGGAAAGTCTCGTTTGAATCTCGTATTGTAATATACAAACTGCACTGAGGGGCGTAGATTGTGGATGCATCAGACTGTGGATCGGGTTGAAAAATTTCTGCATAAAACAGACGGTGATTTTCCTTTTAAGCACACGCATACTCACTTCGGCGTGCTGGCGATGCCAAGTTGCATAGAAGGAACTGCACTTGGTCAAAGTCATGGTTCAATATTGGGTGTGAGACTGGCCTTAGCCAGATGGCCAAGATCATAGTCATGATCTTGAAAATGATCAGATCAGGTTACCGCATTCTCCACATTTACAGTGTTAGTCCAAGAGCAACGGTGCACTAATGTTTTCAGGACAGTTGGATCGTTTTTTGGAAATGTAAAAAACTAAAGTGCCCTTATTGCGCCGTTTAACATTCTGGCAAGAGGCCACTTCACAGGATGGCATCTTGCTGCCAAAAAAACTGCCTTTGGTGCTCACTCTTGCCCAATGCTCACACACCACTTCAAATTTCTCCCATCCGCAACATAAGAGCACGCGCTGAGGCCACATAACAATGTAAACTTGATGCCACAGTGCACGATAAGAGATAGACCAACCACAGCACTTCTGCGTGACTACTGTTTTCCAAGCGACGCAGTCGACATTGCCATGCGACGCCGCCGCGCGAGCCAGTGCGACTTTGTGACGTCACCGCCTAACTTTAACCAGCCTCTCGCCCGATCAATTTCTCAAGCTGTGATGATGGCCCCCTGGCTATAGGAAATGTACGGGCCGTTAACTTTCAGGTGATAAAAAAGAGACTGAGTGAATATAATCTTCAGGAAAACGTGCAAGAAAATGCACAGATCCTTACAGATGATGTGCTTTAACCCACCAAAACCAGAACATTTAATTATTTTAACAGTTTTCAGAGCAATTTAATTGCCGACGACGTCAATCTATTGGAAAGTATGAAAGATGCAAGATGCCCAGGGCTCCTTAATGGAGTTCGATGTACCAACTAACGAAAAAAAAAACGCTTAAGAAGCCGGGCTCTTCTAGCCGAGACGATATCTTGGCGAAGGGTATCAACCGAACACCATCTTTGAACAATAACCATAAAGGCTGGATCATCAGGACCCCACCAACGCAAACGGTCTTAGAGAAATATATAAGACAAAACAACGATAGACAAAAACGCAGGCAACTGTCGAGAATCGGACGGGATTCAGCCATTGTATACAGAGGGCACGAGCTTCTGCGAGGAGCAACCCATTTAATTTTTCAAGGCCTTGCTGTGAGCATTTATTCCCAGCTCCTTGACCCACGCGTGCGTCAAGGTCATCGACAGCCTTGCTGAGACGATACGCAGCTAAAACAAGAGTACTGCAACGATGAGAACGCGATGGCAGATATTTCAAACCAGAAGGGCTACAGATTTCACCGGGCGGACGTCCTAGCCCGAGACGTTCTGCTCTTGCACTATGGAAGACGTCAGTGTAAGATGCGCGGGCGAAAAGCACAAGGACTACTTGCCAAACCAGAGGATCTGTAGATTTGTTTTAAGACAGGTCACTTTGGCTACAGGCCTCCGTCAAACATGTTGCAAATGAAGGACACCCCCGGGCGTTGTGACGGTATTCGCCAACCGCAGCAGTCCGAGGCCCAGACAATGCATGTCGTCGACCATGTTCGAATGCGGCTCAATTTTTCGAGCACATGCCTGCCAAAAGTCTTGTGGGAGACTCGAAACCAGATACAATAGGAAGCGAAATATTGGTTGCATGGTCGCTGGTGTACGGGGATTCCAGTGTGTGGATTGGGGCTGAACACCTCTTAATAATGTAATAAACTTGTCATTAAAGGCAAAAAAAAAACACAAAACAAAACATAAAAGCATACAGCTATGGTCCTTTTGCGCCCGCGCGAGACGCATTCATGCACGAAATGTACAACATAATGATAACATGATAATGTATAACATAGGTCTACCCTGGAGGAAAAGCAAGACTCCTCTAAAACTGTCCCAGTGCCCGGCGCTCCAGACTGTCGTAGTGTGCGCGTACTTTCCTATCATATTAGAATGTGTCTACCTTCCTACCACGTGCCCGATATTCCCTTCAGTGGAACCACACAGGCGCCTCCATAACTGGCTTTCAGCACTGAAATCCTTCCTATGTAAAGGAACAGCTGGGTGGGGCCTTGTTCCCATTAGACGTCCATAAAGGTCGACCATTGGACCTATTGATGTGCACGTGGAACGGACTTCAAATACAGTTTTTCCGCTGTGGGCAAAGTGAATGCTCTTCTGACGTCGAGCAACGTCAGTGCACTCTGAGTGCATTCTCTTGATATCACCCACGCTGACTCCGCCTATGATCCAGGACAGGACAGGACATCAGCTCCTGACACTGCTGCTGCTGACGTCCTTCTCACTTCCGCGTCACAGGGCTGAGCGCCACCTCCTGCAACTTAGCGGTCATCCTAATGTTCACACTGCGACGAGCCAAGCTCAGCCCAGCCGAGTACTTCTTGCTGAACCTCATGGTCACCTCACTGCTCTTCATCGTTATCTCCTCGCCGATGGTGACCGCCTCCGCCTTCCAGCACCGCTGGCTGTTTGGCGAGCTCGGTGAGTGTGTCTGTGCTTGGGGAGGGGGGGGGGGGGGGGAAAGAGGACGTAATTGACCAATAAGAAGCGCCTCTCAGCCCTCCACTTTATTTCGAGCTTGATTTTCGACCGAAAATCTCATCGCTGAGCTCTGGTGCTGCCACTGATCTCGCCGGCACCCGATGGCATGCAGGCGATATGACGCAAGCCGTGCATGCATAACAAAGCTGCAGGCGAGCGATGGCCGTGCATTGGGCGACGGGCGGCGCCGCCGGACTGCCGGAAATTGGCCTCAGATGGCCGATTTGGCTTCTGTGAGGTAGGCAGCTCTGGTCTTGCGAATCGCCTTTCTTCCTTCTCCTTCATGCTTCGGTTGAAACATCTTGATTGAATGGATTTTTGGGATCAGAGTGAGCACTGAGCACAGCGTGAGCACTGACCAATCATCCGATCATTCGAGCGCCAAATGCCAAGTTAACGTCACAGAATGTGCCGTAATGTTCGGTACGGTCCGTCCTGCCCTCTGATGTCACCTGACCTTTAGCGCGGCCGCCGCCGCGAGCCATCCCAGAGGCACACAGCGATGGCCTAAAGCGGGCGTGACGCAGCCCGCCAAAGATGATCAGATCAGAAAACAAGCGTTCCAGCCAACTCAGCTGACGGCACGGAATATAATGCCTTGCTTATTGGGCACCCTAGTCAATGTGCCTTGAAGGGTATGTTTCACAGTTGAAGGTAATGAAGAAAGCATGAGATATGATGAAACAGGCTCGCTGATAACTAGCGGTATGCTCTTTTAGTGGAAAAGACGGTTCAAGAAAGCACAATTAGGTGTTAAGTAAATATGCTCCTCAATGCGTCGTGATTTGATTTTGTCATCTTGCACAACATTGAGTGAGAGTCAGTTGAACGCCATTTCATCTGGAAACTGCGCCCACGAACGCAACATATGAACACCTTGACAATTAAACTATTATTGGCCTTGATTGCCGCAAGTTTTATGGAATGGGAGATTTGGATGATGTTGTTATGACGCCATGAATGCCGACGTGAATTTAAAATATTCTCCCCGATGGACCTTTCCAAATTTTCGCGGGCGCGTAGCTTAGAAACTGGTAGGGTTTGGGTCTAAAAAGGGCAGGAATGTGAACAGCACCGAAAGGCGGACTGTTGACGGACTGATGATCGCTCTTTATGTCGCCCATTGCGTGGTTGGTGATGCCACTTATAACGTGGTGCTTGCTGCTTGCTATGCCTGACAGTATTGCTGGACCTCACCCTCCAAACTTTCTGGTAGTTCTTCCGCTTGGCTCTGTTGATAGAACGCTGAAATCGCAATCAGAACAGCCCGGTTGAAGTGCCAGCAATGCCAAGGGGAGAATTTCGGTTGTGATGTACGCGTGGCTAAATCCACACACCACCCAGTCCTTCTCAGAACTTAAAAAAAACGTCTAACGACTACCGGTGCATTAAGAAACGCTCGGATGGGGCTCAGTTTACTCTTCCGAAATTTCCCTTTTCCTCCAGAATATATTCCGAACGGCGCGACACGTACCTGCGCTCAGCTTTGTTTAGATGTGGGTCAATGCATATCCGATCTTTCACTGAAAATAGATACGCCTCACAAGGTTACTTGTCTGTGGTAAGTCAGAGCCAGACCATGGCTGATAGCGGAAGCAATTGCAAGAACATTTTGAGATGTGATGGGATAACGGAGCGTTAGACGAAGTAATGCATCGTTGAGCTGGTTTCTAAGACAACCAGACAAATGAAGTCATGATTAATTGATTTCCACTGACCTTGGGTTGAGTATGATTGTCAGATCAAGGTAAAAATCAAACCGCATAAATGCTGCAAAGCTTGCCCTATACCGCAATCCGTGACGCTCATTTCGGATTCCTTGTTGTCAGCGTCGTCAACTGACGTGTAATTTTGACGAAATGCAGGTCAGGAAACCCACTAGCCTAAAATGATCCCGATCAAGGCATTAGCACCGACCGTCCATTGATAGCGGTCGACCATTCGCATATCAGATGGTCGACCGTTTTGGTGCGTTGAATGCAAGTTTCGAGCGTAAAACACGTTTTGTGTCATACAATACAGAAATTTGATAAGCGGTGCGAGTTATGACGAATGTAAGACTGGGAATCGAATACCTAAAGAAAAGCACCATAACCGAATATGTCAATGACAGCAAACCATATAAAACACTGAAAACTATACAGGAACACGACGAGAAAGTGCCAAAGCATCCGAGCATGACATGTTGAGGTTTCGAAAGTATGCGCCAATTTGCGCGTCCCGTCTCGGCAGGCTGGATAAGTACAAGTGAGCCAGCGCATCCGCTAGGGTACAAGTTTGGTACGGCCGTCTGACAGCGACCCCCACATCACACAAACGCTCCATGACTTAACCAAACGATGACGTATGCGAACGAGCCTATGCACCAAACCAAACGAGCCAAACCAAAACCAAACGAGCCTATGCACCAAATTGTAAAATGTGTTATCTAGAGCAATCTTTTGCACTTGAAAACATTCCAATAGTTATAAGTGGAACTATTTCATCGTATCTCACGTTTGCTTCGGTTCTTTAAATGTGGAACATTCCCTTTAACCACTGGAAACTTTGTGATAAACTGCCCGGGAATCGGTATGGAAGTGCATATAGTTAGAATGTAAACTAGTTAAAGAAAAATGTTCCTGGCCTATGCTTTACAAGTACGACAGATGTTCCAAAGACGGTCCAGCGACATGAGCTTGGAAGCACCTTTTTACCTGTCGTTTGGTCCCTAGGAGGTGTGATCCATGGGTTTCTCTGCTACTTCTGCGGCATCCTCAACATACTCTCCATCTTCTTGGTGGCTCTGATCCGTTACCTGAAAACGTGTTGGCCGCATCTAGGTAAGTTTTGTTGGATAGCACGCTAACCAATCTTTCCACAGCATCCGTTTTCGGGTAAGTACGCATGTGTTTATGCTTAGAAAGAATTGCGTCATCCCTCCGACGTTTACCTGCGTAGAATCACACTTCTGTCGATATGTTTTAGGGCATCTTTTCCCTAGTCTGGAGGCCGAACACCCAAGTGTTGTTGGAATCTGTGTAAGAAATTGGTTGCGGTCCATTCAGGAGGTAAGCTTGCCAAGCTCTTTTACACTGCCCATTTTCCATTGTAGTTACACCATTCACAGACTTGGACAGTGTAGCTGTGCGTCATCAAGAGGCTGGTCGAGCCGGGGCATGCCAGGGAGTTCTCGTCAGGTATTCATGAAGTGGGAAACAGCCTTGAGACAGTTGCGTGGACAAGAAAGGACCAGCGGTTTTAAAAAAATGCTGCGCTTCGCGACCGTCAGCCTCGTACCTAAACGCACAGGAAAATCATTTCTTAAGATCTTCACCGTTCAAACTCTGTGTGCTTTTTTTGCGAAACCAACCATGCAGTGATGTGGAGTTTGACAAAATTAGTTCTCTGTTTGACATGCGCCTAAACATGGCAGCTTATAGTAGTTTGCGCGGTGAACCCACGCACTACAATGTACTGCTGCATGCTAAGTATTCATTTCCATTCGCTTGATCGAGCAGAAAGCTCCGCAAAACGCCCGGGCCAATGATCTACTAACCATTCCCTGTTTTGATTCACGGCATACGGCGTTGGACAAGTTCAGACACGACTACAGTGACAAAAATTATAATAAACGTGCTTATAGGGGATAACTAGCCGATAACTAGTCTCGTCTAGCCGAAAACAATAGGATGGCTGACCAAGTCGAGACGGTAGCCATTTTAACACCCGTGGTCACATGCCACGGTGCGCTCCGGCTGACTGTCGATGCTTCGTTAACAATCTTTCCCCGGAGGTCAGGAATGCGTATCATGAGTTGCGCGTGCAAGCTTCAACTCAATTAACCAATCAGCAGCCCATTGGAGCGAACAAGAACGCCTCCACTGTTAATGAGTGGTGTGTACCCGACACCGTATATCGACACGTAGTGAAGGGCATGGCTCGCATACAACTGTACTGCTGACGTAGTACTGGCCGTTGAGAGTGTCGTGCTGTATAAACGGTCGTATTGCATGGCTGTACCAGACATGGCTTTCCTGTGACGATTTATCATGACTTTTATCACGCTTGACCACTCGGAAGTAGTGCATGCTGCTCGGGCCGAGGAACAAATTGGACTGAGCGCCGGAGCATTCACGTAAGCCGAGGCCATACAAACCCTAACGGCGAAATGCTGTATTAGCTTCTATTTGTACAATTACACAGACTGCATTGGAGATGGGGAATGCTGTTTTATTTACTGGCTCGTTCTTTTATATGCAATACAAGGCGAAAATCTACAAAGGGACATATATGAACGAGTGCGGATAGCAGAAGACTTTATGAAGCACGAGAAGGAGGCAAGCGCTTCCGCTTCAAAAGCATCTCCATGGTGTCTCTAATCCAGCATTATGTCTGACTACATCCATGCCCAATTTTATATCATGCTTGCCGCAAACCGTTATGCACTCACTGCAACAATGACCCCTGTGTACCGCTACAATGTGTTTGTATTCGTTTTAAATCGCTTCGTGGACTGATTATCGTCGACTTAATCGCTTCGAGACTGGTTATCTTGCTGGCCTGTGCCGCCGTCATGCTCCACAACTTCCTTACAACAAACACGAGAAAGGGAAACAAAGATAGTGTCGCGTCGTGTCACCGGATATGGATAACTTGGTTTTAACGGACACGGTTCTTCTTCGTTGTATTACTATTGTTACCAGGAAACAGAAGAAGCCGAGGGAAGAAACAATAATTAACCGAGTGTGGATTTCTGTTCTCAGAACAGAAGTCAGAACCCCGAAAGATGCAATTCGTGTTGCACTTTGAATCCAATTAACTGGAGCAACGAGGGGTTCAGTGATTGTATGGAATAAACTGTCGAAATTTTTTCACTTTCAATAAGTTCATTCGACTACATCTAAACCGATAGCACTGAGGGGTTTTGTCGATTTTATCTAGGTTGTACGGAGATACCAAGTGCTCGGTGAACCGACGTACATTGCAAATAGAAATGGAGTCAAAAGTTTGCGGTGCCATGGGTAAGCGATGTTCGTTTGGGGGTGTTCGCCCTTCAGTCAGAATCGAGTAGTGAAAACATCATCGCGCGCCCGTGTGCCCGGTTGAACACCCTCCGCTTCGCCGGTTAAGCAATTTGACCCGCTCAGATCTCAGAGATCAAGAGAGCTAGAAACACAATTTCGAAGGGTGTGGGTCCACGTGAACGCAATGACATCAAACTTTCAGGTTCGTAGGTCCATGACCTTCGGGTCAAATTGGGTCAAACAAGGTCAAAGTCTGGATTAACGTTTTAAGTCCCCAAAACCATCTCATGCAACCACCGTAAGCGTAGATGCCTGTTCTAAGCAAAAGGTCATTAATGCCCATTTAAGGTCAGTGACCTTTTTGACCTTTCAAAGTTTATTGTGCCCAAAATCTACAGGACTGCTTGGATTTTTTGCCTTTGAATAAGTGACAAAGATTACGCATGCCAGTATGCCACTAAAACCGAAGTGTTAAACCTGGGCCTTTTGGGTCAGTGGGTCAGTGATTTGGTGACTGGGTCAGTGACCCTTTCGGACCTTTAAAAGTCCATGGAAGATGTATAATGCGGCTCCTGTTATCAATGAAATCAAAGTGAGCACCAAAAACTACCATACCTCAAGCTCTAAAGTAATAAAACAGGCTGGTTTTGACCTTGGTCTGATCTGCATACCTCAACCTAGGTCAATGGAATTTGTTCATTCAATTGTTGTATTGCCTAAAAAAGCCATCTCAGAGATGTAAGGCTTCGTATACCACTCCGTTGCTGCATCAGATTGCACGATTCCCTAGAAATTGTCTTTCCGAATCTATGGCCTGACTTTGACCAGCCGTAGATCATCGACCTTGCAAGGTATATCTAATTTTTTCATATCAGACAATTCACTATTCAATTGACTACAGCTGGCCGCGTCCTTCGGAAATCATCCTCGGGGGGGGGGGGGGGAGGGGTCAAACTGACCCTCACCCTAGCGCGCAACATATACTATAATTGTATATGAGCGCTCGCAAGTCTTGGAAAAAAGTCCGCGCGTATATTTCACCTGTGCAGTTTTTAGCAAGGTAAAGGGAACGGGTGAACAGTGACAACACTAGAACCGGTACTGGAACCTGGCGGTGGAACTGGAAAAAGGCAAAGGTAAAACCTCTATTTCCGTGTTGCTATTATGGCTAATATATTCAGAGGATATCCTCAAAATAATACAGGTGAAATATACGCACTTGTCTAATCTGTGAACAGTACGCACTGGTTTAAAAAAAACAACTTTCGGAAGCATTATTTCACGGCGGCGGTCCTCGCGTGCCGGGCGCCCGCCGCCCGGTGTTATCTGCAGCGGCCAACGCCGTTCAGTTTTGCGAACCTGCAGGTCCGGCCATCAGTGTTCTTGTTCCCAAGATTACGAGCTCTCAGACTCAAAACCTCTTATGTAATATGCTGCGTTCGTCGATTCTGTGTGAGGGTGGACGTCCTCAGACAATATGGGCGAGACTTTTTCATATTTGACGTTTTTGACGTTTCGATCCAGCCCATTGAGCGCTAAGGAGAGCCACGCCTCTTCCGGGCAAGTGGCCACTCAGGAAAAACACTGGGGGTCGCATCGTCCGTCCCGGCTGCGGGATCAAAGGGCCATTCAGTTCCAGGGCGGGATGCGTACCGGCTGCCATTCTGGCGACACGGGAACAGAGGTCCCATGGTCGATCCGGAGGCATTTACAAGGATACATCATTCATTGGCCTCATCCCCTACTTGGGAGGCCCCTTCTTACCCGAGAAGTTTGACCCGGATCGACGCAGGGACCTTCGTTGGGGCAAAAAGATCCCTGATCGCCGCGGGTGGCTAATGATCGACAAATACGCTCCATTTCGGCTTGACGGGTCCCTGGCTGAAATGGGTTGGATGGCCCTCGTCTTGGCCCTCGTCGTCGTCTTTTGGAGCATCTGAATGACACAGGACCCTCCCATCGTATCAGAGTGAACTCTCATCGCACGGCTTCATATCCCCTCTCATTGTCGGAGAACTTCGACCAACGCGAGAGACCTTCCAGCTGCCGGGATCCCGTCCGTGTCCCTGCTTAGCAAATGCTCCCCTGGCCGACTCGTGCCCCCTGCCGGCACAGGGTCGCCTGTTAGACGCTGTGGGCTCCTGGCCGACACAGGAGCTCCGCCCAACGCAAATATCGTCTGCCTCGTCCCTGTTTGAGAAATGGGCCCTCAGAGCTCGAACCGACAGTGAGCCGACCGTTAAGTACTTGTGGTGCCTGATCGACATGGAGGCCCTCGTCAATTCCGGGAGGGGGGAGGGGGGGGGGATCAACGCGAAGCGCCCTCTGACTGTCATTTGAGAGCTCGATTCTGCTGGCGGGTTGCGCCAGGCCAGGTCGGGCATACTGTGACCCCCGGTCAGCCTTTCGGACTCTCTATCAGGCACTTGATCGTCAGCCCCGAGGGGCCCTTCGGACCCTCGGGATGTAGAAGCGGCGCATGTGCCAACTGTGCCCGCCCCCTTACTGCGCCACGGAAAGAGACTTCAGGGGATGGACGGTTACGACAGACTTCTGATCGGTGTTCAAAGTATTGCTGGGTGTTCTGATCTGCATTGCCGTTTAACACGCCTGTCGGGTATGGGGTTCAGCGTCAGAGCAGCAGCGAATCCAAACGACATTGCCCCTCATAGCGCAGCAGCACACTCAAATCCTCCTCCAAGAAATAGGAGGGTTCGACCACCACCACCAGACACCAGTCACCACCAGCAGACGACCCAGCGCTCTGCCCATCGATTACCTGCCGACACTGACAACGCGGTGAACCACCTCGAACATGCCCGTTTGCGACTCCGCGCGCGGCGATCCGAGAATGGGCCTCCTTCCCGGAAAAGCAAGAAGTAAAGTAAAAAAGCACGTCAATGGTCGCCATTCAGCAGCCGCCACCCCACGAAAAGCCCCGCAGGGAGCAAACATTACTCAGCCTAGGTCGACAAACGCCCGCACACGCGGTTACCTGGCAGGGCCGGCGGTGAGCTTTGACTGTTTGTAGCGGTGCTTCGGTCAAGAAGGGTTTCAAAACCATTTATCTTCAAGCGCCAGACCAGCGTTTGCAGCCGCATAGCTTGTATCGCATTGTCGGTATCCGAAGTTTCAATCCCATTTTGCTGTCATGCGCTTGAGTCCGAAGGCACAATATTGGATCCCATACGACTTCGATTGGAGGATACGTATGTCAGATCGAATGGATATCTTTATGGCGGTTGTTTAGGATTTGTATGATGCGTGGTATGCCTTAACGAATGCAATGCTGCGCTGAAAGAATTTTGCAGATTGACCAGTAGACTCTGCGTCTTCGAATGCATGTTAGGTGGATCGGACGGTGTGTCGCATGCATAGCAAACTACGTGAAAGAAAATAATCTAGGATGCGTTGATCCTCATGAAGTGGCGTACTGTTCGGACAACCGTAGGTATGCCATCTCATTTGACGTATGATGCCGAGTTTTTTGCACGTTCAGTCGTCTGTCACAGGCAATAAAAGTTATGACACGTGAAAAAATGACATTATATCACGTAACGATTGAAGGCTTTGCTTCGCTTAAGCCAAAGGTGATGTGACATATTTATTTATTCATGCGGCAGCTCCTGATATATATACACACTGTTCACGTCTGTTCTCTCGTGTAAAAGTGCAAAGTGGCATATAGAGCAGCGGTGTTGCCAAGTAAAACTGAAGACCTCGTTTTCTTGTATCCTCAAGGCGTACACCGAGGTGTGAGATACGCTTTCCAGACCGCAGACGCCATGTAGGTTCGGTGTACACACGTTAGTTTTTAAAACTCACCGGTCCAGGGAAAACTTTAAGTTCAGGTCAAGAGGTTAGGGAGTGTTTTTATGATTTTCGAGTCCACATTACGCCGTCACCACTTTGCAACGGCACTGCACTTCTTTCCTACAGTCGCGACCACCGTCATCATGACAACGGCCGCGCTCACCTCAACTGGTGCGAATGAAAGAACGTTTTTGCTTGGTCCTGCGGGCAAAGGCTCGCTACCAAGAAGTTGGTTGGTTGAAATTTGAACCAGTGCGCCACATGGATCGTGTGATACTCCCATTCCCAAAGTCAAACCATGCGTCGAAAAGAGGCACTGTGGTTAACACCATAGGTGAGAGAGCAAAGCCAAAGTTTAACGTTTCGTCGAATTCGCGGGATAATAGCTCCGTGTTGGCACATCTGTTTGTGTAAACAGTGTGTTTAAAGCTTTCGTAGCATTTCTTGCACACAGATTTTGACACAATAACGTGCTGCAAACGTTGCAGGACATTTACTTTGGAAAGAGCAGGACAAATGAAATGGATTACTTTCACAGTGGTGAGCAACGAGTCAAGTAAGATTTCTCCCAGAGGTTTGGCATCTTCAAATCAAAATTCTAAACTGTTCAGCAGGATTTCGAAAAAAGATAGTGCTGATCAAATTGCACGCATCTGATGAAGCAATAAGTGAAAAGTACCAAACAGGTGGGATACTCCCTTGAAGATCTTAATGCGAGGCCCGGAGGCCAACATAGCCGGCCAAAGGTGAAAACAAACCCTTGCACGACGGTGGTGGTAAACTTCTGCCCACTGTCTCCGGTTGCCGATGCTCCGCGCGAAGCCAAAACTGCTGACAATCGTAACATAAAGACATCACTATTGGACAGCTGGCGCTAGTCAGCATTAACTCGCCCTGAAAGGGGGGTGGGGGAGGGCCGGCGCGACCCCCCCCCCCTCTAAAGTCTTTTTAATCATATCTCTCTGACATGCCATGCAATCCCGTCCAAATCTCAGTAACCTATGTGACATGCAATTTGGGCAATTTGGGCATTTTGACCCCAGACCGTGTCACTAGCCTTTCTGATTTCGAAGCGACAGCGGCTTTTCGAAGGGCAGTGCACGGCGATCCACGGCCAGCGTGGCCGGCAACCGACGATTCCGCGGGTCGCGCGCGGGGGGGGGGGGGGGGGCTGAACATTAACACACCGTTGCATTAACAGGGCCCTACGTTATACAAGTACGCCTCAACGTATACAAACACATACCGTTTCACTGAACTTTAAACAAGGACCACACCTTTCTAGATTTTGTGTAACTACATGGCATGGTCCTGTATATAGAAGCATCCAAAGCTGAAAAAGTTAGAATCTCGGGAAAATTTGATCTTTGATCGACATAATGGGGTCGATTATTGACCAAGGAGCATACAACTCATTACGCATCTCGCGATGGCCAAAAAGCCCAGTTCTTTGGTATTTCTCAGCAGGCTCTATCTTTCTTAGTTTATCGCTCTTTGTCTCTTGTCGCTCTTTGTCTCAGACTGGTATTGTCTGGGGCTGGTATTGCATCATGGCATGCTGAGGCCTGCAGAAACTGAGCGGTTCCTTGTGGCGCGTGTTCTCGGCAGCAGGCTCCGCATACGTCCACAGGCTGCGTGCGGGGCCCCCTTGTGAGCGTCCACAGGCTGCGCACGCGACTCCTTTGTGAGCGGATGTGCCCCTCCCCCCTCAGGCGCTGCGGGGATCAACCGGCGCAGCATTAACTGACGAGGGCTTGATCGAGGGCTTCATAACGAGGACGTTCGATAAGCCGTGCTTGAGCAGAGAGGAGAGCGGGCATCCCTCGTGCGATGACCTGACGGCGGTTGCATTCAAACAGCATCCGGTGTCAAACGAGTACTGGCGGTCACGGTCGCGCAGGCCCGAAAGGCACGGCTCGGGCGCAGGACTCGGTGGGGGGGGGGGGGGGGGAGCACGGTTCGGGCGCCGGCCCCAGGGGGCAAGGCTCGGTCGCCGGCACCGAGGGGGGGGGGGGGGGGGCTCAGGCACCGGTCGGCGGTGCGAGCGACGCCACGGCGTCGGTCAGTGTTACAAAATTTACTTAGTAGAGTGTGATGGAGGTAAATATAACTCGGCGCCACCAGAATTCTGGCTCTCCGGTGGCCTCTAATGAGTTTATCTTCTGCGGTTAATCATGTTATGAGTGCGCTAATATAGTTTGCCAGCAAACCTGTCCATACTAAGCTTGTGGGCCTCGGGTAAACTGCGTTAATGTCATACCTATTTTTCGTTCCAGGCAACTCTCTATACATCTTAGAAATAGTGCTGCAAAAAACACAAACACAATGACACCAAACAACATTGATACGCAAGCAAGTCAGTAAAAAGACAGATAAAACAAAGCACGTCTGCTGACATTCGCTTCCACGTCCACATGTCCCAGCACTAAAACGACATAATCCTTGGATTATACTAGACTTTTGGGGGTAAGGGGCAGGGGGCAAGGAGAAGCGGAAGCTGCACGTGTGAAAGTGCTCTTTACGTCTGCAGATGCATTTAATTACGATTTCATTGTTTTCTATATGTTATTTGAGCATGCTCCGACCAATACCAATGATGCGACGTATTATATGAAACTTTTTGGTGATGTGATATTTGGACTTTAGTCTGACAAGAAAAAGCTAATAAGAAACATCAAATGACCTAAAAGGGGCTTGCCTGAGCTCATTAATGCATATATATATATATATATATATATATATATATATATATATATAGATATAGATATAGATAGATAGATAGATAGATAGATAGATAGATAGATATATATATATAGATATATATATATATATATATATATATATCTATCTATCTATCTATCTATCTATCTATCTATCTATATATCTATATCTATATCTATATCTATATATCTATATATTATGCCAGCAAACATTCACACACAATACACACACACACAATCCACATATATATATATTATAATATATATATAATATATATATATGCATGTGGTGTGTGTGTGTGTGGTGTGTGTTGTGGTGTGTGTGGTGTGTGTGTGTTGTGTGTGTGTGTTGGTGTGTGTGGTGGTGTGTGTGCGTGTGTGTGTGGTGTGGGTGTGTGGTTGTGTGGTGTGTGTGTGCGTGTGTGAATTGCGGACAATAAAACTGTAGCTTCCAATACACAGGGGGGCGGGGGGATATCTCGTGATGCGGTTGATTACACAATACACAGATGAGATAAAACACTAGGACAGGGGAAGTGGCGGCAGCATTATTAATATAATATAATAGATATATGATATATATATATATATTATGTTGCGCGCGTGTGCGTGTGTGTATGTAGTGTGTGTGTTGTGTGTGTGTGTGTGGGTGTGTGTGTGTTGGGTGTGTGTGTGTGTGTGTGTGTGTGTGTGTGTGTGTGGGTGTGTGTGTGTGTGTGTGGTGTGGTGTGTGTGTGTGTGTGTGTGTGTGTGTGTGTGTGTGTGTGGTGTGTGTGTGTGATGGTGTGTGTGTTGTGTGTGTCAGTGTGGTGTGTGTGTGTGGGGGTGTGTGTGTGTGTGTGTGTGTGTGGTGTGTGTGTCTGTGTGTGCGTGTGTGAATGTTGCGGACATAAAACTGTAGCTTCCCATACCACGACGGGACATTATTCATAATTTAGACTTAATGTTCCATTCGTGTTTGAACAATGGTTGTCGTTGTTTGCCTGTGTGATCTCCCCAGAAGTGCCCTTGAAGGAAATGACATGGGATAGGGTATGGCACGTGCACCAGGTGCCACATCCTCCAAATTAAATCAGTACAGATAACAGCTCTCAGCAAAATATACCCGTTTTAACCGCTTCACCCGTTTTTCACTACCCCCGTCGCGAGGCAGCAGTTGCTCCCGTGACCTGTGGTGACCTCTGACAGGTCACCTGCACGACCTGGGCTCGGCACGGTTGTACATGGCCGGCGCGTACGTCTACGCTCTCTTCTGGTCCGTGATGCCCATGGTTGGGTGGGGCCGATACGGTCTCGAGCCTCACAAGATCTCTTCGAGCCTCGATTGGACAAGCCCGCTCATCCGTAAGTGACGTCACTGTTACGAACTACTCGCTGGAGCAAAAGCCAGCAGCGGGCAGCGATTATCATGCATAGTTCCGGATGAAGTTTCGAACGAAGCACGCACGTCGCTCCGATCACAACTGCCTGCCCAACTTCGAGAGTTGCAAGTAGTGGCATAGTTGGTGGAGCAACAGGCGCGCTGCGTTCATGTGGACAGTGTTCACTGACGTCTGCAAGCGTGCGAGCGGTGGGCCCTAAGTCACTGAGGCCGGCTATGTCGGGCTGGGCTTTGTTGTTCGAAAGAGTTATGAAGCAATGGGAGATAAGTGATAGTGGACTCGTGCAGAAACTAGCGAAAAGACTGCTTCACCCGGTGTTTTTCCAACGCTAGATCAACAACCAGCTCTTTTGATGAAATCACGTGGCTCAAAAACTCATCAAAACGTCAACAGCCAAAAACACCTACTGACTGTGACAGCAGCACGTAAGTCAGGCATCCATTTGTATCTCAGATATTATGCGCTTGGTGGATCTGTAAGAACGTGCAGCAAATACAGTGCAAACCAGATGAAAAATTATTATTCTCTTCGAGAAGTGCTGCAGGAGACCACTTCCTGGAGGCAGCCCGGTTGAGAGTTATTGAATTCGCTTATGACCTAACTCGGGTGCTTTAAGATTGCTTAACAGGGGCACCCCCTGGGAAAGTTGGCTGTTTTTCCAGGTGCCTTCCTGCCAGAAAAAAAAAACACCAGGAGGCAGGCTGTCAAAATGCCTGATGCGTCACATTGCGTCGCATGCACTATCTTCAAGATGATAGGGCTTCAATTTTACCTATGGCTTAAGACGAGGTACCAGTATTACGGATATAATTTTTATGCGGCATTTCCGGATCATTGCCTAAATTATCTCCTTGGAATTGTTGGGATTCGAACCCGGTTCCGACTAGCTCAGCTGAAAGCTCTGGACTCGCAGCCAGGAGACCCTGGTTCGAATCCCAGCAATTTGATGGAGATAACTTTGGTTGTAACTGGTACGTGGCTGAACACCAAACATCACCAGTTCTTTTTAAGTATTTCGGAGCGCCTGAAGACAGACGGGGATATCAGTGGCCAAACGCGTTGTGTACATACTTCATACCAGACGAGGATGTTCGAGCACATCCGAACAATGATCACATCTGTGTTAGCATTTCACTTTTTCCTTTCACGCGCTATTCTCTCAGCATTCATTCAGCACAAGTTTCTTATCTACATCTACCAGTGGATGAAGACATTCGCTGACGCTGACTTTGGGTGCTTCTAGGCATGTATGACTCCAGCCATTATGAGAAGAAGCTTCAGCAAGCATCATTATGTAGCAGTTGCCCCCAGCGATAATAACAGAACATAAGTGATATTCCGTAAATGTTAATCTCAATCTGTGAAACGTGACCAGTGTGTATAAAACTACGAAATCGTGTTTCATTTCCCTGCTTTTAACAAGTGTTATTTCACTCAAGGCGCCTGGCGTCCGATGACGGGCTGCCAACAAGTGCCTTGACCAGCCGTGGTCTGGTCTCCAGGGCCGGAGGGTGCGTAGTGTCGTCAGCCGCCGTGGGGTGTGACAGTCACGACCGTGTGCCCTGATCAGCCTCCGCTCTGTGCCAGCACCAGCTCTCGCTTCGCACTTCAACGGTACCCGTACCTCAGCGGTACCTGGTACCTCAACCTGACCTCGTGCCCTGACGTCCTTGACCAGCCGCCCCATGACCGACAGGCGACCGGACATACGTGGTGTCGTCGGTGGTTTTCGTCTTCCTGCTGCCGCTGGCCGGCATGCTCACCTTCTACTGTCGCATCGTGCTCATGTCTTCGCGAAGCACGCGAGCCATCACCGAGCACGGCGGCTTGCTTGTCAGGGAGCTGCGCCGGCGCGACCGCAAGCTCAACCAGGTCAGTCTCGCGCGCGTGGTGTCCCTGAGACGGCCACGATCCATAGTCAGTGGTCCGTCTGGGGCGCGTCCTATAGCAGTGACCCTGGCCACACAAGTGTCTGGTAGCCCTTACGGCCAGCGAGAGGATGGGATGCGTGCCACGTGCCGAGCGCAGCTTTTGAGGTCACGCCACGTGCCGAGTGCAGCTTTTGAGGCCACGAAAAAACGTCTTTTTGACACGTCGCAATTGTTATGGTACATTTAGTGCGCATGTTTTCTGAGAACAAATTGAGCCATGTCCCGTTGGATTGATGAATCGCGGCGTTATTTCTGAGTGTTGGGGTTAATATTTTTCGTCAAAACGTCTGGCAGTTTGTTATGTTTGAGTGCTTGAATAAATGGTTCACACTAAAATGTGCGACATTTGATGGTTATCTTTGGATGCTTGACCGACCATTTTGCGCAAAAATGTCCAGCTCTTTATGTTTTTGTTTTGTGCTGAAATGAATATTTTGCGCCAACATGTTTGGCATTTTATGGTTGTCGCTGGGTACTCGACTGAATATTTTGCACCAAAATGCCCGACAGTGTTGGTTATTTTCGGGCACTGGAATGAACGCCCTTAGCCAAAATGTCCGGCATTTTTTGGTTATGTATGGGTACTCAAATGAGTTTTTGCGTCAAATTGCCGCGCATTGTAGCATCAAACGGCATCCTTGGTTACGACTCTCCAAGGTCACCTGTGGCTAATGACCCAATTTACCTTGTTTGACTTTACATCGACTCAGGGTCCTTTTATACTGCTACATCTTATGCACAACAAAAACGCACGCGTATGTGGTTCAAAGAGTGCTGTTCTGTGATCCATGGAGTCATGACCTTTCGACTTGGTTTTTCCAATCATTAGCACGCACCCGGATGGCAGGGTGAATACCCTTTGTTCTGGTGGGGGTCAAATTGACCCCCTGAGATTTAGAAAAGTGAAATATGTTAAGAATCCAAATTCACGGGTCAGTGACCTACTCTGACCGCTAAAAAGTCCATGGAACATGTCTGCTGCGGTGCCTGTCATTAATAAGTTCGAAGCAGGCATCAGAAACTACCCATAAAACTACGCTCACGAGTAAAACAGCAAGTTAGTTTTGACCCCGTTCCGACCTTTATACATTACCTGAGGTAAATGGCATCGGCTGTAATTCTGAATTTTATTTTTTTATTGCCTAAGAAATTTTCTCAGATATGCAATGCTCCGTCTAACACTCCACTGTTGCATCACATTGTACGGTAGTCGAAAAAACACCCTTCTCTCACATCCGTTGGACCTGCCATAGCCAAGCGACCTTACAAGGCACAGCTAATGTTTTTTGCATCATAAGGTCAGCTATTCAGTTCCCTACAATAGTTCAAAGTTTGGTGGGACTGCGCCGCGCTGTTTGGAAATCATTCCGGAAAAAAGCTTTGAGGAGTTTGCTCAGCTCAGCTCAGTTTGACCCCTACCCGAGCGCGTGTTAAACCTGATGGAACCGACAAGATCGCCAGCCGAGGGGTGTCAATTTGATCCCCACCCGAGCGAGCAACAAGGCTGATCGAATCGACAAGATCGCCAGCCGAGGGGTGCCAATTTGATCCCCACCAGAGCGCGTAATAAAGCTGATCGAATCAGCGAGATCGTCGGCCGATCTGGAAAGCTGAAACCGGAGCCCTTGGAATTCCTGGACACCAGCCTGATCGCCGGTTTTCGTTGCGCGTCTCTGGCCCAATTTGTGGCCATATGACATCGACCCCCGTCGGCAAAAAACGCGAGTTGATGTAGCTGCCTGCGCAGGGAGGGCTAGCGCTTACAGGTAGCCACCTGTCTGGCGAGGTTTGACGCTGGCGGTCTTCATTTGAATTACGTGCCACCAAATGGCTCAAGAACGCGGACCTCTCTAAGGTGAAAGGTAAAAATAGGTAATTGGTCCCATCGTATCACGAGACGAAGAGAACTCTTCGTCTGCAACTTCGTAACGACTTTGTCGCGGCATCTGGCTAGATGCAACAGGATATATGTATGCAGCAGGCGGAGATCGGGCCAGAAAAGTTAGGGGGACCCCGATGAAACATATTGATAGTATGATGGAATTTCTATTTTGCGTGATCGTTCAGTGAAATTGACAAATGGCATAACATAAATTCAGGTTGACAGCACAGTGATGCACTAATTCATCCGGTGATATTTTGAAAGAAAAGGGTGATTTGGTGGAACAACGCTATGTCGCTAAAACGATATGACTCGGAAATCTCAAGAATACGCTATGCCAAGGGCGTACATTCGGAGAATACGACCCCAAAGACCATGGGTCATGCTGGCCTTGGTGTTTCGTATTGAGACACTAAGCTAACAGGAGCAGTGATTTGAATTTAGCCCATTCATTCTGCTAGTGCGATCATTGTAGACAACACATGACCGATCACACCTGAAGTGAGATATGCGATGCTGGTGAGAGATATGCGATGAGGTGAGATATGCGAGATGAACGGCCGCTGCACCGATCATTATGTAGGCATTCCCAGGACGTTCAGATACCTTACTTCCAAGGACAGCGAAGTTTGTGTGTGTATTGGGGGGGGGGGGGGCAGATATCTCTCGCTTACATGTTTGGGAAACTTAGCCGCAGCCCAATTCAGTTTCAAGACCATGAATATAGGTGTTGTGTGAAAGTTGTGTGAGCAGATTATTCTTATTTTTGTTTTATTCCCTTCTCCATATTGCATCGTTCCAGCGTTCGCGCTTTAAAACACTGCAAAACTGACCCATTGATTGCCGATTTTTACAGCCGCTCAGAAGGATCGCATGGGAGATGGAGGTTTTTAAAATGGATCAATCTAGTTATGATTACAGCGAATAGCAAAAGCACGAACTTGACTATGGATTAACCCGGATTTGTACAAACGCATTATGATATGCCGGACTGAATCAGACTAAATTCAAAAGACCGAAAAAGTCGGATGGCGGGATAATTGAATTCCTAACAGCCGGACCGGGCTAAGTAAACTCAAGCAACGCAATCCGTGAGGCATTCTAGCTAATCACCATAAATTTGTTGCCCGTGTGTTATTTTCTAACTGATCACACGTTTGTTGGCCGTGCTTTTACGGAAGAAGTGGTCCAAGGCCAGCCAAATTTCTGAGGTATGACTTTCTATAGGGGCTTGTAAAAACGTTTTTACAAGCATATTTCTGCTCTCCATTGGCAAGAACCCGCAACGTTGGGCACGCAACCTGAGCCGACTAAGAATGCTCGGGCACCCCGCTCCCTTTGGATGCATTAATGATGCAGTTAGGGCCATTCGAGTCCGTTAATCTCTGATGACATTCATTGACCATGGCCGGTCCTGGGCACCCTTTTCACTGGTCTCGATTCAGTTCAGGATTTTGCCATTATTCGATTTAGGAGCACCGTTCATATCACTTGCTTTGTACGTTTTCGGCGCCGATAAGCAGTGGATTTTCTTGCCGCTGTTCTCATGAACTAAGGCCGACCTGGCCGCGCAGACCACAAGCCGGACACTTTAATACTGAAGCGCGCGTCGTTGGATTCGACTTTGAGTTCGCCAGCGTTAATGCCTTGGCTCCAGCCACACCAGGGAGAATTTAGCGAAAGGTTGCTATCTGCTTCCCATCTGGCACGCAGTTAAGAATAGGTCTCACCTGGCTTCAGCTAATGGAAGTCAATTACTCTGATCACGCTACTTTCAGAGGATCTCTGTCGCCGAGGGCCTGAAACAATTATGAGATTACATGCACGACATACCAGGCACATGTGGCCTAATTTGGCGCTGGATCTCGCAGAGCCTCAGCTGCTGATAAACCGTGGGGAAATGCGGCGACCTACCACGGTTGTAACGATCAGCTACTGCGCAGTATGCTTGTTTTTCACATTCTCCGTCTGAATTCAAATTACTGTAGTTGTGTAAATGCAAAAGAAATTTCATCTTCGCTTTGGACGTGTGCATTGTTTTTCTAAGCTCGACAAGCATTGAAATTCCTTCCTGCTGCTGTATCGTTCGAAAAACAAACGAAAATGTTTGCGTTGTATGTGAGCAAAGTTTCGTCCTGTAATACAAAGTACACAGTGAGTGTGGGGCGCCAGCAGTTTTTGTCTCCTTTCTTGCCACTCGAAACACTAAAAAAGCACACGTGGCTTGGTGGCATGTTCCAAAGAGGCAGCCGTGCGCACCCAGCGCACATTTATGTACGTTGCTATGGAACTATTATGGCAATCGACACCACAACCCCTCCACCGACGGTTGGACGGAAAGCGAAAACTCCGCCGGCAGCTGAGCTTAAAGCCCTTGACGTGCGGGCCACAGCCGAACACACTTGACCATATTGGGCCACCGCACTGACCGAATCAAGACCTGATCGGCTTGCCGCTGGCGTGCTGTCCTGACACAGCTTTGACCTGTCGCCGCAGCTGGTGGTGCTCGTCCTGGCCGGTTTCGTGACGGCCTGGCTGCCCTACACGGTCGTGTCGCTTCACGCCAGCGTGGTGGGCTCGTACCAGCTGCCCGTCTGGATGGTGGCCGTGGTCACGCTGTTCGCCAAGCTCTCCAGCCTCACCAACCCGCTCTGCTACATACTCGTGTCGACACGATACAGGTCAGTGCAAACGGGACCGCGAAGCCGGCGCGCAGGCCCGTCGCATTGTGTTGTGCAGCCGGTGAGTGCAGGTCAGGGGCGAAACATCAGAGTTGGCAGGATGATCCGTTTCCACGCGGGAGGTCCTGGTTCGATTCCCGGCTGATGCCGTCATCTCTGGGAATGACATATCGCTATATCGTCACTTTCACAAAATAAAGGGTTGCGCCGAAGTGCGCCGAGCAGCCTTAAAAGGGACAAGGGTGCAGGTAAGGAGCGCGGGAGACTGGCGCCACACTGACAGGCTGGACATCGCTCCGCTGTTCTGGGAGGACGATCGATGCGGCGCGGACGGACATCGCTCCGCTGTTCTGGGAGGACGAGCGGTACGGCGCGGACATCGCTCCGCTGTTCTGGGAGGACGAGCGGTGCGGCGCGGACATCGCTCCGCTGTTCTGGGAGGACGAGCGGTGCGGCGCGGACATCGCTCCGCTGTTCCGGGAGGACGAGCGCTGCGGCGCAGTCGCACGCCAGGCGACTTAAATGCTGATGTTCGTCGCGCGTGGGCGTGCTTCAAGAGCAGTGACCGCTGCGATCCTGCCACGATCCTGGCCAACTACCGCTGCATATTCAATATCCCTCAACGCATGCTGCGACACTCGTCTCGATCTATAGGACCGAGGGATGGCAGCGACAGTGGTCTGTGCCCTGGTCCCAATCGCTGGCTCTGGTCTGGTGGTGGTCTGTGCACGGGTCCCAATGTCGAGCTCTGGGCCGACGGTGGTCCGTGCCCGGGTCCCAGTGTCGGGCTCTGGTCCGGTAGTGGTCTGTGCCCGGGTCCCAATGTCGGGCTCTGGGCCGGCGGTGGTCTGTGGCCGGGTCCCAATGTCGAGCTTTAGGCCGACGGTGGTCTGTGCCCGGGTCCCATTTGCGGACTCCGGGCCGACGTTGATGATCTTTGGAGAGGTTGCTGCATCTCAGTGTGTGCAAGAAACGCATGCACCGTGTTTCTACTTTGCTGTTTCAAAGCACGGTAATTGGTCAGGTTTTGAAGGTTGTCTTAACATAACACAATTCATGGCACATTGTTTTC